TATATATATATATATATATATTGTTTAAAACTCTAGATGCAATTCTGGAGCTTACTTATTCTTTCATGATTAAAAATAAAAAAATTAAAAAGAATCAAATTATACCACACATGATACAGTTAACAGAGAGTCATTTAAAAAACACAGTATGAAATAAAACAACACAAAATAATAGAAAAGCAACCCTATGGCCAAATTCAGACCTTTTTCTTCCTGGTGGCAAAGTGCAACAAAACAAATTTAGCTTCTTTCATAGATATGCATGTATGAATGGATGAATATTTTAACAGAGAACAAATGATTTCTGCTTCAGGCCTGATAGCCAGTCCTGTGTGGAGCTTCTGTCACCAGGCTGGAAATCAAAAAGCTGAGTCCTAGTCATATCTTAGGTATAAAACCAGCTGGGTGACCTTGGGCCAGTCTCTCTCTCTCTGTCTCTCTCTCTCTCCCTCTTTTCTCCTCTCCCTCTCTCTCCCACCCCATCACCCCAGAAAGCAGCTACAGGTAAGCCACTTGTGAAATCTTTCCAAGAAAATTTCAGGGACTTGTCCATGTGGTTGCCAGGAAACAAAATGGGTTCAATAGCATAAAATTGGTTAGTTCTTTAGGCCAACTTAAACAGTAAGGAAGGAATTGTTCATTTGGAGCAAGGGTATAAAACTGGTGGGACAGATGCATCACATTCAGGCCACGCCCACCACAACTCTGCAAAGGGCAAAAACATCATGAAATGTCACGTGATGGCAATCTGACACCGCAAGTTTGATACCCGTGATTTGGAGCACCTCCTGTCACAGCAGTAGTATTTAGACTTATAGACCGCTTCACAGCTCTTTACAGCCCTCTCCAAGGTTTACAGAGTTATCATATTGCCCTCAACAATCTGGGTCCTCATTTTACCGACCTCAGAAGAATGGAAGGCTGAGTCAACCTTGAGCCCGTTAGAATTGAACCACCGAAATTCTGGCAGCCAGCAGTCAGGAGAATTAGCCTGTAATAACGCATTCTAACCATTGTGCCACTGCAGCTCATAAAAGGTCAGGGCAGCAATACACAGGGAATACAATTAGTCTTCATGTAGAAATTCTTTCAGAAAGCGATCATTCACAGTTACAATAAAAAGTAACTTTGTGACCAATGCCCACATTTATGATTTTACTGGTCTTCTAAAACAAAGGAAAGCTGAAGAAAGATCACAAGCACAGTTATAGTTTCACTTAGCGACTGGTTTGCTTAACAACAGAATTGCTGGTCCCAATTATAATTGCTAAATGAAGACTATGTATACACATTCTGATAGCTTCATGTGAGCACAGAAATATTGTATTTTTTGGAGTATAAGACGCACCCTTTTTCCTCAAAAAAGAGGCTGAAAAGCTGGGTGCATCTTATAATACACTGAATACAGCATTTTTCGCCTCCCGAAGCCCTGCCCCCTTCACCAAAATGGCCCATGCATAGTCTTTAGGAGACTTTCAGAGAGCTCCTGGGGGATGCGGAGGGCGGAGATGAGCAATTTGCTCCCCCAGCCCCCAGCAACACTCTATAAGCCTCCATAAGGCNGCTGTTGTCGCCCTGTTGATGATGTCAGCGACGCGGTTTAATCGGGCGCGGTTTAGTCGAGCGCAGTTTTGACGGGTCACGCCAAAATAATACATTCCTTATAAATAGAAGTGGAAGGCAAAATCATAATAAATGATTTTTATGGTCATATAGTGCCTTGAGGCTTGTGGGACTTGGCGAAAAACCTCCAGAAAATCAACTGCAGTATGACAGATTTTTAACTCTCTTAAGTTAACTGCGTTTTATGATCTACATCATGGTACTCAGATGAAGAAGCGGTCTCTCTATTACTCACCCATGTTGCCATCCAAATAAGAACCCAATATTAATTTGTAATTTTCACTTTCATTTGCAATTCTGAAACTGGAATATGTTGCAAAGGTTGTGGAACCGTTGAAATCTTCCACATCAATTCGCAATTGCTCTGTCCCTAAACACCAAAGGATAGATGTTATTAGAGAATGCATACTAGAGGTGCAGAAATCCTTGAAGGGAAGCTTATTGATCATTGTAGTAGACTTTCATTACACAACGACAAAACCCCAGTGCCACCACGATTCATAAAAGCTTAGTTATCATTGCTTTTCAATGGACACGATCCACAGTGGAAAAGCAATGGTAACTAACAACATGGAGGAACACAATTACAGGAGCACCAGAGGTGGCCCAGGAAAATTAAACCACTGTCAGAAAGTCACAAACTTTGACTGATCATTTTGCACAATTAGCCAGAAAGTCATCCATATGTTACCACTTTTTGCTTTGCTTTCGCAAAGTCAATATTTTTAATAACTGTCTACTTATATATAGTGAGTAAGGCAGTTAGTTATCAATTATCTTGGGGAACCGTGCTACATAAAGATCTCAAAAATTTGCAAATTACAGAAAAATGTTTCTTTCCCTCAGATTTCATTTATGAATTTGGAATGTACCATTATTATTATTTTTATTAAACATTTTAATCTTTAGAAATAGGAAGAAAAACAGAAGAAAAACAAAAAGAACAAAACATACATAACAATATAAAGTAATTGTACAGCCTTCTGTATTGGCTTTCATGTTTAGCCTTTAAAGTTCTCCATTCTGCATTGCCTCCCTATTGCTTTTACCTTGTCCTAAAATGTAACAACAATAGTACTAACACTTATAATAATATTAATTATTTATATCACCATATATTTACATTCTCTATTTTCTGTTTTGGCTTCTGTTTTCTAGCCCCTTATAAATTCTATTCTTAGAATAGTGAGGAGTGATATACAAATTAAAGGGTTACAAGCTAAAGCTCAGGAATTTAAGGTCCAGGCTTTTGCCGACGACCTTGTTTTTATTCTGGAGGATCCTATGGCTTCTGGGATACAACTTTTACGTAAAATAGAGGAGTACGGTATGATAGCAGGGTTACGTATAAATAAAGAGAAGGCAAAACTGTTAATT